TCTCACCCGCTGCTCCCCTCAGCAGTGTACTTTGTTGATCTGCCTGTTCTGCTCCCCACTCTGTCTCTGGTGAACCCTCTCAACACCCCTGCACCTCTGGCCTGTACCCCAGTTCTGTATGCATAAATAAATAAATCTTTTTTATTTTAAAGGCAGATTCCACTGTCTCAATTCATTGTTTTAGCTCAAACTGCCAAGAAGGACTGATCAGTTGACTAAACTCTACAGTGGCCCATACTAAATGGTAGACTACTTGGTAGATTGAATGGGAAGATGTTGACAAAGACTCTCCTTGACCTATATGTAGACAGGATACTCCGAGTCCCTTTTTAACTGGGCCCATCCTTAGACATGTCCTGAAATGTAGCAAGAATCATCAAGTTATGTAACTAAAATTCCCAAAACTCAGTATCTGATCACCCCCAACGCCTCATTCCCGGTGTGATATCTGATGACCGTGGCCAGCCTTCAGCAACAATCCTACTAGGTCACTTTAACAAGAATGACCCTACCCTCTTAGTAACTTTCCTTCCACTGACCCCCTCCCCAGCCCTTTGGCTAAAAACTCCTGGTATATTTTTCTGTTATATTCAAAATTGAGCCTGATCTTTCTGCCCTATTATACACCCCCTACAAATACAATAGTCCCAGAACCCATAGCAATAATCCTGAATAAAACCTGCCTTATTGCTTTGAACAAGTGCTAGAATAATTTTTTCTCTGACAAATTCTTTGGGAGACTAGAATGCCAGAATAGATTTATTTTAAGATCTGTTTAACTACTTCTTAATTATATTGCTCAAAGAGTCCTTAGAGAAAAACGTTATCAAGGATGTGAGAGAAACTTTTATAAGGAAGCCCTAGGGTTCCTGAAGTGTGGTAGAGTAGTCATTTCTCTGACCAAGAATGACTATTGTAACTACTCTCATTGAATTGGGGCTCCCTAAATTCTATGGCCTCTTGGAGGTGGAGGGCTCAAGTGAACCTCAAAGGCCAGTCACTGAAATGGACAGCAGGCCCAAATCAATAATCAGAATGGTTTGACCTGTGGGGCTCTTTGGCTCTGGCTAACAGGTCACACAGCACCCCTGAAACTAGATGAGTTAGTTAATTGTCTAAGTGGAAAGACTCTTAAGTCTGGGGAGCAGAAGTCTGATTAAAATCACCATAGTGGAGGGCTCTCCCTGTGGCACAACAGGTTATAGCACCACATTATGAAGCTCTCCGCAGCCACTGCAGCATGAGTTTGATCCCCAGCCAGGGAGCTGACCTACATGGCGTGGCAGACCTCTCCTGACCTGCCCACTGCTCCTCTCAGCAGTGTGCTTCATTGATCTGCCTGTTCTGTTCCCCACTCTGTCTCTGGTGAATCCTCTCACCCACCACACCTCTGGTCTGTATACCCCAGTTCTGTAAGCATAAATAAATAAATCTTTAAAAAAAAAATCACCATAGTGGAGAGTTAAGTTTCCTCCAGTATTCAAGTAATTCTCTACTTGAATCAGTTCAGAGATTCAGAACCCTTTGCATGAAGAGAAAATGAAGCAATGTGTTAGAGTCAAAATTATATATTGTCATTTTTTTCTCCTGGCTTGCTCAAGTGATCTGTGTCATTATCCAGTTTAACAACATGATGAGAAGTAACCAAACTTTCTAGACTTTAGATCCCTTCTCTGACCTGAAACTCAACACCATTGTGGTCACTGATCTAAAGATGATTACATGGAGATCAAATAACCAAGGAGCTGGTTTCAGTAGGTCAAGTGTGTTTCACAGTGGGTCTCTGAGAACTCACTGAGTGGCATATCCCCAGCTCTGAATTGCACAGGAGGAATATGCAACATCTCGCAGAGTCCACACATGGGTCCTCTGATCTATGAGATGAGAGCTATTATGATAGGCATGGCCAAGTAGTCTCAAGAACTGCCTCTGTCTACCAAGATATTGCACTGCAATTCCTGGAGCAATTGCAGATGTCAGTGCCATCGTCAAGGACTTGTGAGATGCAGGGCGGGATTCAGACATCATTCAGTTGGCCTAACTGGTCTGTACAAAAGACAGCGTAGCTCAGAGATTAACATTGGATAACCCTAAACTCAATCAGGGAGCCACTGCAATTGCAGCTGCTATGCCAGATGTAGTTTTATTGCTAGAGGAAAACCAACATATTCTGTGGCAACTGGCACAGACAGTGAATGCTCTTTCTGGAATTCTATCAGTAAAAACTTAAGAAACAGCTTGTTTTCAGCTGGCAGAGCCAAACATCTTCACTGTCTTACTTCAGAGCTACGCCAACTCAGCCCTATATCTTAGTTCCTGAGGACCTTGACCAACTCTCTTTGGTAATAAATGGAGTGTGAGCTGAAATAGGCCAGTGTATCAGTTTTGAGGCGAAGTTTAAGTTGCTGTATCTGACACCTACTATAACAAAATAATACATGATTGAACTGAATACATTCGTGCATAAAACTGGGCAATTTTTTTCCTTCCTTCTCCCAATTGGCTTGCCATTGAACATGAGATATAGTAACAGTCTTTAATCTTACAGTTTGTTTAAGGCCATAAAATAGGGAATGTGGTGTCATTAGACAAAAACATCCAGCTGGAATGAACCTCACCCAAAGACCGATAAAGGCACTTTCGTCCCTCATAGGGGTAGAAGGTTCACCTCTTTACAGCTGTACAAAGGATCCCTGCATCACGTTAGGTGGAAGCCAGCTCTTACTATGTTGTCTACATTTGGAAGTTATTTATGATTAAGACAGGTGTGTCCTGATGCCAAGTTAACAAGACACTTACTTTTTCACTGTAGCCGTGTAACTGTGGTACTTTTTCACTGTAACAGCTTGGTTTAGTTGTTACTGCATTTCCCAGAATTTCTTTCTCTGTATGCTTCTGGGTTAGGGTTACCTAGAAGAGAAATTTCTAAGGGCTTGGAAGGGAGAAGTGGAGCAGTTGTGTTTACTCTCTGAAGGTCACTTGCTAATTTGGGGTAGGAGCTGGCCAGCAGTTCCTCCTGCCACAGCCACCGTCACGGAGAGTTCTCCTCTAGCAACTTCCGAGTTCTGCACAGCGTTAGGTGCAGAGGCAAGGTGAAGGGCACCTGCTGCTCCAGCTGATAAACTTGCAGCAAACTGAACGCTGATTATCTGGTGCTGGGAGAGGGGGTAACTAAAGTCATACATTTTTATGTAGTATTTGACTTTTTTCCATGATGACATGTTTTTCATCAGAAAGCTAGCATAAATATGAACTACCTGAAAGAGAGACATAAGGGGAGAGAGAGGGAAACAGAGAGAGATAAAAGAAACTTCATTAACTTTGGCCTATACAGTAATATTAAACTCAGCCTGGATGTGAGGCTTTGGACTATCAGATATTTTGCACTGTTTCAACTCTACCTGCCGCTTTCTGCATGCTCATACTATGACTGAGTTCTTCCTTTGACTTCTGCCTTTCTTTAGCAGTTAGGTGATAACTTGTTCTCTCCAGAAACCAGCCCTGTTATGTCCAAATTATACTGTGTGTTACAACCTGTCAAATTGCTGCTACCCATGTGGGCAAGTGACAGGTTAAAATCTGGCTCAAAAGAAGAAATAAACACTTTAAAGATTCCTCCAAGAAACTCATTAATAAGAAAATAAAAATTTGGTTTTTTGGTTTCCACTTGTTCCAACTTAAGTCTATTGTCCTCACCCATACAATTTTTTTTTTTTATATTGCATTGGGTTCTATTTAAGGGCACTTTGCTTCCAAGTATACCCAAGTTATGATAATTCAGGAGCTAGTGTCCACTCTGGAGGCAGGTTAAATGGGAGAGCTTTAAATGTCTGCCAGAATAATAATAACTAATATTTTGGGTTGGAACAACAGAAATTTACTTTGTTCCAGTTCTGAGCAATTTTTTTCCCCAGAACTTTTAAAAAAGACTTTATGACATTCTGAGTTCTCATAAATTCTACAAGATAGCTATTACTCCCATCGAAGGCCAGTTATGTAATTTGCAGGACCCAGTGCAAAATAAAAAATGCAGGGCTCTTGGTTCATATATTTTTAAAACGGTGATAGTAGAACATTAAACCAAGTGTACGACCCCACAAAACTGCACAGATAGCAAGCCCAGAGTCCAACCTGCTTCCAGCTTATATTTAAGAAACAGGTTCACTGAGATGAAGTCAACTCCCAAAGTTAATTTATCAAGAACTAGGAAAACGTCAGAGCCAGAATTCTGGGTTTGACCCCCCTCACCCCCAATTGTTCAGTAGCTCTCCTCAATTGTATTTTTTTTTCTATTGAACTTAATCTAATGAAGAGGCTTTTAATTTATTAAGCGCAAAACCTGCCAGTTCATCCCTGTACCCTCAGGTTTAAAAAAAAAAAAAAGCATTTACCTAAGGTTTTGATATGTTATATAGTGTTGTGATGAGGCAGCAAACTCTCTTGTCTATCATGAGTTCTTTCTACACATTTCATTCCAATTTTAAGGACAATACAGACATGTCTTCGTGTGTTTCAATGGAAGGAACTTTTAAAAATGTAATATAATAGCAGAAATTGTGATACAAAATTCTGCAGTGACATTCTCATTGCCAACACCAAAATAATATATCGAGCATTCATTTTGCTTTTTAAGTGACCACTGGACCTCATTTAAACGGAAAGCACTCAAGCTCCAGCGTCAAGGAGAGTTGCCTGAAGGTGAACGGATAAAAAAGGGGAGGTCACGAGCAGGACTCCCACACCTCAAAAACGCGGCCTGGAATGCGCGCCTGCGCAGAATGAATCCTCCTGCGCAGTGCCGGGCCGGAAGGGGTTGGGCCGGCGGGGGCGGGGATATGGTTGCTAGGAGAACGCAATGACGCTACGACCTCCCCGCTCTTCTCCACCAATCGTTGTCGCCTGCTCGTGGTGATGCGTCGTACGCGTCACACTGACGTCGCGCGAAGGGCACTGATCTAAGGGCTGGGAGGACATTCGGCCTCTGTGAGCCGCAGCCTTCCTAAGGAAGAGGTTGTGATTTCGCCATCTTAGGGAGTAAGTGTGACCCGGCCTTCCCAGCGGAGGGTGGGTGCGGGGAGCGGAGCGCGGAGCCCCTGTGGGGTTCGGCTCTGGCTGTCTGCCCTGGCGGGCGCGGCCTGCTTTGAGGAAGCCGCCGTGACCTCCTCAAGGGCGCGGACGCGATGAGGAGGAAGGCCTAGGTCGGGGTCCCACGGCGCGGCGACTGCCGGCCTGGCGGTCCCGACCGTTTTTCTGACCGCGATTTCCTTTTCCTCTAGGAAGATGTTCTCGTCCGTGGCGCACCTGGCGCGGGCGAACCCCTTCAACGCGCCCCACTTGCAGCTGGTGCAAGATGGTTTCGCGGGCTCGCGCACCCCCGGCCCGGACGCGCTCCCCAGCCAGCCCCGCCGCTCCCGCACCCTGGCAGCCGCCGCAGTGGAAGGTGAGAACAGACCCTGCCCCGAAACGGGCCTCTTCGTGTCCGCTAGCTGCCCGCCGGCCTCCGGAGCCCTGCCCGGCCTGGAGGGCAGGGAAGGACGCTCCCAGCCCGCTGCACGCCCGGACGGCGGTTCTAGGGGATGGCAGTTCTAGGCGGGGTGTCAGCCGGGGGATGGCAATTCTAGGCGGGGTGTCTGCCAAGAGGCCCTCCCTCAGGGGCGTGGAAAGACCTAGGCGCAGGTCTCCCGTGACCTCCGTGTCCTCGAGGGAGTAGAGACCGTGACTAGCTCCTTATCTTCAGCGCGAGTCCACTTGGTCAGCAGACTAGTGTTGGGTAAAGTCTCCTAAGCGATCACCGGCCGCCCGCAGTTCTCACTGCATATTTTCTTTACCTTCTCCCCCCCCCCCAAAAAAAAACTGCTGAAGTATACCCTGCATTGACAAGTTAACGTTAAGTGGCTCACTAAATCCACTTGGACATTGGCATGCGACTAATGGACTTGACAGGCAGCCCCTTTGTATTTCTTCTCTCTCGGGATTCCCAGCGGTTGCCCTAATTTTACTTGTGTATTTTAAATCCCACTGGATTGTTTGTACCCGAAAACCCGAGCAGTAGGAGTGGTGGAAATAATACCTATGTCATGCCAAGAAAAGCTTCCATAAAAAAAAAATATATATGTGTGTATTTGTGTTTTGTTCTTGTTTATAGCTTTCATTTGGGTAAAAATCCTTACATCCTTTCCCCCCTTCTATTTAAACAGTTAACTGTAGCATCATTTGTAGTAAGTATATTTGATTGACAAAGATTCCTTCAGTTTATTCTGTAGGAATCCAAAAGTGAAATAGTATTGTTTAGTACTTTTTTTTTTCGTCAAGTGCAATTTCTGAGTATCATTTGTATTCCAATAAGTGTTTTTATTAGTAATTTGAAGTTTGATTTTAATTGGAAGAGCCATTAATGTTGAGGATTTTTATTAATACGGCAAATATATAGCTAGTATCACAAGTGGAATCTCCCAAATTTTAAAGTACTTGTTTTTATTTTGGCAGTCACTTTCTTGTTATTTGCAGTAGGTGGAAAATCATTTTTCAAGTTAACTATAAACTGTGGCCAGAGCTGTGACAGTACTGTTTTACAGGGAAAGAGTTCTTTTTCATTTCCACTGCCTTAGTCATATCTGAAGAAATGCTTACATTTTGTTTTTTTCTTCCCATTTAAACAGAACAGTATAGCTGTGAATATGGATCTAACAGATTCTTTATCCTTTGTGGAATTGGAGGAATTATTAGCTGTGGCACAACACATACAGCATTGGTTCCTCTAGATCTGATTAAGTGCAGAATGCAGGTTTGTTTTGCATGTTGGACTAAATAAAGCCTATTGTTGAAGCATGGCTGTTATAAGATGTAGTCATCTACTAACAAGCTGTGTGGAAACCTAACTTTCCAGGAGGTAAGTTGGTAACCAGTAACATGAGTTTGTATTAAAATGCATGGTGTGTCTTGTTTTGCTACAGAATACAGTTGTGAATATGGCTCCATGAAGTTTTATGCACTGTGTGGCTTTGGTGGGGTATTAAGTTGTGGTCTGACACACACTGCTGTCGTCCCCCTGGATTTAGTGAAATGCCGGATGCAGGTTTGTATTGAGATAACAACATTAAATGTTATTTTTTTCATGTGACTTAATTTCAAATAACTTAAGATTTCACAATTGAGAGCCCTCAATTTCTTTGACTTACAAACTTTATTTAATAGTAAGCCTTGAGTTTAACTTAATGGACTTTATTTTAAATCCAAGAAATCACTTCTTTTAAAATAGTGGAGGTTGTTGGATTTCAGACTCTTGGTATAAATGTTTTTTTTTACTGCTTGACCCAATTCTGGCTGGAGTTCCTCTTCAAGCCTACTGATTTATTATGTTTCAGGAAGTCACTTTACAAATGGTTACTGAATGGGTAATTAATCTTTGTGAAGTAACTTCATTTTTCCTATTTACTAATAAGATTAAGGCAGAGAGCACTATGTAGATTTAAACCAAAATAATTCTCAGCATCTTAGTATGAAAATGTGGGCATAGCCTCTTGTATATTTATGTAGAAATTTTTACATTTAGAAAATCTTTAGGATTATTGAAACAAAAATAATCAAACATAAAACATTTATTTTGTCCCAAACAGGATTAGAAGTCTACTTACCTAAAAGAGAAAGGAAGGTGAAATATAATCAGGGAGAGGAAGGTGACGTCTAACAGCCCCTTCTGGTACTGACAGAAATAGTGCTAAGATTTCCCCCCCATTAGTTAATAGAGTGGATATGAAATAAATCTTTGATAAAACATCTTGTGCATGTTTTTTGAAGTGAACTTAATTTTTTAAAATAAAGAACCTCACTGTTGGATAAACCCTTTAAACTTGTGTTTAGTTTGCCTTAAATTCAATCTGTATAGTATGATCTACTTAATGGACTAGCATATATCAGCGATAATGTAGGCTTACTTGTTTTTTTGGCAGTAGCTTTAAATTGAAAATTTTTTAAATGCTGGATTTGGATGGTGAAAAAAATCTCTTACAAGAGTCACTTTTATCATGTATTTTAAAAGAAATTTTGTTCTTATCATTAACATCAATGCTCCAAGAATTAAGTCTGAAAGAAAAGTAGACCTTAATCTATAGAAAATTGCATTTATGTAATAATCACAGATACTAAACTGATAACTTGCAGTGAGCTTGTGTCTTTATTTACTTACTGAAGTTTAGAACCAAAAGGGAAACTAATAATGAAATTTAGTGATTACGACAAGTACTAACTCTATGGTGCACTTAGTTTTTGTTTTTGTTTTCTTTCCTATAAAGGTGGACCCCCAAAAGTACAAAGGCATATTTAATGGATTCTCAGTTACACTTAAAGAGGATGGTTTTCGTGGTTTGGCTAAAGGATGGGCTCCGACCTTCATTGGCTACTCCATGCAGGGCCTCTGCAAATTTGGTTTTTATGAAGTCTTCAAAGTCTTGTATAGCAACCTACTTGGAGAGGTATAAAATTTAACTTGGAAAATATCCTGGGTTTTATTATGCTGCTTTCCAAGTAAGCTAGACTTTTAAGTTTCTGGGACTCTTTTGTAACTGAAGGATAATTATATTTGACACTTGGATGTTTAAAAAATGCATTGTACAGAAGACTGTAGTAATCTTTCTATTGTGTGTGATACATGGCTCTGGGAAAATACTTGTAAAATATAGAATTGTCCTTGAAGTTAAATTAGAAACAATCCATGTGGCAGCAGTTGATGTCCCTCCTTGCGTTTTTCAATTAGGAGAACACCTACCTCTGGCGCACATCGCTATATTTGGCTTCCTCTGCCAGTGCAGAATTCTTCGCTGACATTGCCCTGGCTCCCATGGAAGCTGCTAAAGTTCGAATTCAAACCCAGCCAGGTTATGCCAACACTCTGAGGGATGCAGTTCCCAAAATGTACAAGGAAGAAGGTTTAAATGCGTAAGTAAGCATAACTTATACTACAGAAATACTCAGTGGAAGGAATTACATTTCTTAACATTAAGTTCACCAGACTTTTTTTAAACTAGGGCTTTTAATGTTTCCTTCCTACGTGGGACATAAGCTGCAGGGACAAGGATAAATTGATAGATGGCTTTAGCCCTGAAATTAAGATGTGTTTTCTAAAGTAAGAACTGTTTCAATCTACAGATGACTGGGTGTATTTAACCTAAACATTTACCATTAACTTTTGAAGAGAGCTTGTTGGAATTCTTGTTACAGTCAAACATTTGCTTATAGTCCACACATACTTGCATAGGGACCTCAACATGCTTCCTTAGATCCACCTTTGTGGGTGTCACTCATGAACTCAGTGCTACTTGTAAACTTACTGTTTCTTGTAGTTCTAGTCAGAGAAACACCCAGCAACTTTTTTGGTTGTATCGTCAAAGGTGCTTGAGTCATGGGCATGTGAGAGAAATATACCTGCATGTTAGTCTTACGTTCTGATAGAAATGGCATGCTATTGTGCTGGCATATTTGACTATCAGGACTCGACTGGTGTGCGGACACTTTTGTTAGTGACGAAATTTCTGTATGATTAATGTATGAAACCAAGTAAAGTAAGTCTCCTGATTTCCTAGATTCTATAAGGGGGTTGCCCCCCTCTGGATGAGACAGATCCCATACACCATGATGAAGTTCGCCTGCTTTGAACGTACTGTTGAGGCCTTGTACAAGTTTGTGGTTCCCAAACCCAGAAGTGAATGTTCAAAGGGAGAACAGCTCGTTGTAACATTTGTGGCTGGTTACATAGGTATGAACTATTTAGATTACATTTGTCTATGATTTTAAAGACAATCATTTCATTATTGAGGAAAAAATATGTGGTAAGTGTTGGTTATAATCTGCAAAATTTTTTGAATCTTGTAACAAAGGATAGTTTGCCTTATAGCCTTTCTTGTCGTGGTTGGTTTTTTTTTTTAATTATTACAAAAGTTTATTTTTACATCATTTTGCACATTTTTTTTTCTATCTCGATTGTAATTCCCACGGGTTTCCCATCACCAAATCACCCGTGTGCCACCACCATAGGTTGGTTTTTTTTTTTTTTAAAGATTTATTTATGCACACAAGACCTGGGGTGTTGGCCAGAGGTGCACACGGGTGTGAGAGGATTTACCAGAGACAGAGTGGGGAGCAGAACAGCATATCTCCTTACAGCTACTGCTGTGGGGAGCAGTGGGTGAGACAGGAAAGGTCTGCTGTGCCATTTGTGGGTCAGCTCCCAGGGGGCCCAGGGATTGAACTCATGTAGCAGTGGCTGGAGATAGCTTGATAGCACTGTGACTTTAACCCCTGAACCACCAGGGAAGCCTGTGATTATCTTTAAACCTGGTACTTTTTCAAGAAAAAGATACTTTTATTCATGAAAAAGCATTGTTGGTCATACTACAGGTTTCTAAAATTGATTCATATCCCATCATTTATCTTGACTTTTTTCAGCTGGAGTCTTCTGTGCAATTGTTTCCCACCCTGCTGATTCTGTGGTATCTGTGTTGAATAAAGAAAAAGGTAGCACTGCTTCTCAGGTCCTCCAGAGGCTTGGATTTAGAGGTAAGACTTTGGGTTGTTTTCTGTTTGTTTTTTTTTTTAAACAATAAGAATGATATTTGGGGGTATATGTTTCAGCTATATTTCACTGACGTTTCCTGTTTAACCAGGTGTTTGGAAAGGACTCTTCGCCCGTATCATCATGATCGGCACCCTCACTGCCCTGCAGTGGTTCATCTATGACTCTGTGAAGGTCTACTTCAGGCTGCCTCGCCCTCCTCCACCTGAGATGCCAGAGTCTCTGAAGAAGAAGCTCGGGCTAACCCAGTAGATTGATCAAAGCAATGTGGACTGAATCTGCTTGTTGATCAGTGTTGGCAAAAGTGCAAAAGGAACTTTTATATATTTGACAGTGTAGAAAATTGTCTATTCCTGATATCATCACTGTAGCGCTCTTGCTTAAGGCAAGAGTTTCAAACTTATTATTGAAATAAACCCAACTGCTCACGATTTGTCTGTCGACTTGGTAATTGTTTTGGTAATTATTTTTTAACAGAATTTTTAAAAGGTTTAACCCTAAAATGGAAAGAAATGTGTAAGTTGAAACTTCAAAGGAAAAAATGCAAACTAAACTGATTGAAGATGTCACTCTATTCATAAATTTATATCTCAAGTTTTGTTACTTGAGAGTTCCTATATTTTTAGGAAATTGATCCTGAATTTTCAAAACCAGTTGTAGGTAGATTGAAAGATGTTCATCTGTGGTATTATTGACAAGTAAATTTCAGCATGTAACCAGATTTTTGAAGTATGTACTATTTTCAACTCTAATGCATTTTCTAGTCTGTATTTGTAAAAGAAGGTAGTCTCAGGCTGAGTTTAGAAAAACGGTTTTTTAAAGGACTGAAGTGCTAACTAAAAACTTTCAGGTAACGTAACTATTCACACCGGTCATTCTAAACAACAAAACATTAAACTGTCTTGCCTTTTGTCTTTAGGAAAAGTAACTTCTTGATCAAGTATGTGCGTGCCACTGGGAGAGCAGCTCTCCAGCATACTTGGGCTTCTGAAATTTGGTTGTGGGTTTAAGCCAAACTGATTTTTTTTTCAGCTAGAAGTTAAGCTTCTTTGTTTCATTTTTCCCTTTTGGTTAGAAAGTAAGAAAACCTAATGTGTCATACAGTTAAAATTTTTACATTTTAATCTAATTACATTTTACCTTGAGACTTTGGGGCTGCTATTTCTAGGTAGGGTTGATCCCTGTATTGGGTCTATTCTCAGAGAAAAACGTGCAAGAAGTTTAAACATGTTTTCTTTACCAATCAGTATTTGTAAGGTCAGTGAGCTAAATTAAAAGCGAGGTCCTCCTGGTCACATGTTAACTTCTTTATATTATGACCTGGTCTTGTTTAAGGATTTTTTTTACCCATGTTGCAGAGAGAGAAGTTGTAGCCAGTTTGGCACATTTGGGCCAAACTGTTACTAGGTAGAGCAGTTTGAGTCCGCGTGATGGCTGTGATGAGGAGCCACTGCATTATTTCCTGCTTGTAAAGTCATCAGAAATTTAGTTGCATGAGACAATATAATCTCAAGCTTTACATCAATCAGGAATTTTTTCGAAAAAAATATCCATTCATGTATACAAGAACTGGGAACAGGCCAGACTTGTTGGGGGGGGGTGTGAGAGGATTAACCAGTGGGAGCAGAACAGGCAGATCCAAGGAAACACCATACTGAGGGGAGCAGTGGGCTTGGTAATGAGAGGTCTGCTGCGCATGTGCGTCAGCTCCCTGCCAGGAACGAAAAACTGCTGCAGTGGCTGCTGATAGTCTCACAGTGCTGCACTTTAGGGAGGGCCACAATCAGGAATTCTTGACCATCTCTGCTGTACTCTTGTCTGGGTCTTCTGTGAAGTTAATTTAGCTCTGTGGTCATGCTTCCTCATTGGTGTTTTTCTCTTTCAGTGGCCCAGTCTTCTATAAGACCAGTAAGTTTGGCAGCATTAGGGCAGTGGATGTAATATGTTACAAGTCTCCAAAGCAGAGCCAAGCACGCTTAGGACAGCCTTGGAAATCACATGGCATCATTTGTCACATCCGAAGGTTAAATCTCAGCTTCAGGGGAAAGAAACACACTACTTGCCGGGAAAAGTGTCAGTTCCATCTTTAGAGCCTGGGGATTGGCTATTCTATTTTAGGCCAACTCAGAAGTAAACTAGACTTGAAATCTATTCAGGGTTTGCAGTTGATCCAGCCCTCACTATCAGACAGTTCCCCTATGAGCCCTGTAGGATTCAAGTTTTATTTGCAAGAGGGACAATAGTTTTCAGATCAATTCTATAAAGCAGAACCCAGTGGGATAAATATATGTGATTAGTTTGATTGAATTATGCTGTAATTCTAGGACAAAATAGCATTGCATAGATTTCCAGAGTAGTCAACTGTGATTCAAATAGCCTTAAGTGCAGTTAGAACTCAATTCTGATTTTGTTAAATTATATGTACCTAGTAACAATAAAATTGAATGTACAATAAAATTGAACAGAAAGGTAATAGCATAGCCAAATCCCCATGTTGAAAGTTTCATTAAATACGTTGTTCATATACTGAAATGAGTTTGACATTTCTGTACTATCATTTTCAGCTAGTTAGTAGCCCATTCACAATGCATGAAATTTGGTACATGGCAGACTTGCTGAACCAAGAGGTGTATGATCTTTAGCATACGAAGTCAATATTGACACACACAATTTGTATCATAAATCACAAACTTATATTAAAAATCCCAGATAGCACATGGGTAAGAAACTGATTCCAAGCTTGAGGAATCTTCTGCACTTGAATGCTGTGCCTCTCCTGAAATATCTTAGAATGATCTGGTACATTAACAAGGCAACTACTATCAGCTCTTAGCTCAGATAATATATTGAATCTTCCTGTCCTCACATTTTCAAAAGTGCCAACAGGAGTGTGTGAGTTGTTCACCTCTCCTGTATACTTTTTGTTTATTAAAGTGTATCTTGGGTTTCCTAGAAAGTGGCTATTCCACAGTTTGCCTATGTGTTTTTATGGATTCTAATGTCAAATGGTCTCACGGGGTGTCTCACACACTAACCATTGATTCTCTGGGGGTTTTCTTAGAATGCAGGTTTTGGTAATGACTCTCTTTTTCAAATAGGAAGTGGATATACCAAATCCCGGTCAGTAGTCTGGAGAAGGTCAACCACGTCAGAGCCCAAGAACTGAAGATGAGCCACTCTGGTGTAAGAGTTCATACTCCTTGAGGTAACTAATTCAGCATTTGGATACCTTTTGTTTGGCATCCAAAGTGGGGTAATGCTTCGTGGTGGTTTTCTTTTTAGATTATTGTTCTTTTTAATTTTGTTTACTACTTTGTTGAGGACTAGTTAATACATAATAAATTGCATGTATTTAAAGTGTATAATTTGATGATTTTGACATGTATGTATGCCTGCGAAATCATCGCACAAAATAATATATTTCTCCCCTTAAGATTTCCCTGCATCTTTATATTTCCTGTCATCAGGCAGCCACTGATCAACTTTCCTGTCCCTAACATTTCTAAAATGTTACATAACTGGAATTGCTAGGGCTGTTTTCATTTTCATTTTTAAATTAAAAAAAATGAGGTGTGAGTGGCTGTTTTGTGTGGACAGCATAATGACTTGATATTTATAAATATTGTACAATGATTACAGTAAGTCTACTGAATACCTGTAGCCATATGTAGTTCCACAATGTTTTTTCTGTGTGGTAAAAACATTTTTTTCCAATTCCATTTATTTACTTTAATCATATAATGGTTTATTTTTACATCATTTTGTGCCTTTTCCCATCTCAGTTGTGGTAAGAACTTTTAAGATCTACTCTCAGCAACTTTCAAATGTGCAGTTCTAATAACTCCACTCACTGTGCTGTGTGCACAATCCCTAGGACTTACTTTGTAACTGGGCCTTTGTACCTCCATCTGGCTTCACTCATTTCCCCCACCCCTTGCTGACGCTATTTTAAAATGCCTCTAGTAACTTTGGCTGCTTCTGAGGGCGCATTACACACACGCTGTACGAGGTCATCTCCATCTCAGGCTTGGCCAGCAACTTGCAATCTGCATCTCCCCCGAAACTCCCACTTTGCTTTGGATTCCCTTCTCTAGGTTATATACCTTTGGCTTTAGATCATTTGCAAAATGTCAGTGTCTTCAGAATGTTAGCACTGGCGCTTTCTTAGGTATTCCATGATTCTTTTTCTGCAGCTTTGTAGCTATGACCCTTCTAGTTTTAGCTCCTCTCCAAGGATAATGAATGCAGAAGCTCCGAGCCTGGGGACAGTTCTCCAGTTAGGCCCCTTGTTACACACACCATGAGTGCTCCCTGACAGTCAGAGGACAGCGAGGAGTTCATTCTGGCCTCCCAGATTTCCTAGTGCTAGATTGGCAGATCCTGTTTGTGTAACTGTGTGTGTGTGTGTGTGAGAGTGTGTGTGTGTGTGTGACCACACGCTGAGGGGAGGGAGGGGAACTGGGAGCACATAAAGTTCTTGCTGTACAAAGTTGCAAAGATCTGTTTTAGTATATTTATTTTAGAAAATCAAGTGCCTAACTCAAAATTTTATTTTATTTTATTTTATTTTTTTTTTAAAGATTTATTTATTTATTTGTATAGAACTGGGGTACAGGCCAGAGATGCGGAGGGTGAGAGGATTCACCAGAGACAGAGCGGGAAGCAGAACAGGCAGATCGACAAAGTACACTGCTGAGGGGAGCAGCGGGCGGGGCAGGAGAGGTCTGCCTCGCCATGTGGTCACCTCCGGGGCAGGCGGGGATCGAACTCATGCGGAAGTGGCTTTAGTTTCTCAGTGCAGTGCTTTAACCCGCTGCGCCACCAGGGAGGGCCCAAAAATTTTATTTTTATTGTACAAAATAGAATCAAATACAAAATGGTGTATTTATGCCAAAGTTTCATTATTTCTCACTTATCAGTCTTTTTTTTTTTTTTGTAAAGGATTTATTTATGAATATAAGAACTGAGGTATAGGTCAGAGATGTGGGGGATGACAGGATTCACCAAAAAGTGGCTAGCAGAACAGGTAGACTGACTGAAATACACTGCTGAGGGGAGCAGCAGGTGGATCAGGAGAGGTCTGCCACACCATGTGGGTCAGCTCCTGGCCGGGGATCGAACTAGAGCTGCAGTGGCTGCTGGACAGCTTCACAGTGCGCTTTAGCCCCATGAGCCACCAGGGAGGGCCTGCACTTACCATCTTTTTATAACAAAACAGAGGCCCCCTTTAAAATAAAGTTTCTAACTTCTAATCTAAATAATTCCAAACTAATCCATATCTGACATGTGTGTTATTTCATCTTTCATATCTTTAATCTCAGCTTGAACTATTGTCAAATTAGATATTTTTTCATTTAAGAAAGCAATTTCTTTTTCTCTTTGGACTAAGTCTGTAACCAATCTCCCAATACGGAGTGTTAAGTCATTTACC